CTAGTAAAAATGTGTGAATGGTTGATTATAGCATATTTAGGAGATGTAGAAGTAGGTTAAAGAAGAACTAGGATAAAACGGGACAAAGTTAAAATAGACACAGACACACGATATGACATATTTTTAGCGTACTGAGTACATGACGTTTTATTTGACACTAACACCTCACCTCAAGTTGATTAAAATATATTGACGTGCGACTCAAGATTGATTATTGAGCTTCAAGTTGATTAGATCTGGTGGACGTGCAACTCAAGATTGATTGTTCAACTCCGATGTTTAAAAGAAAAAAGAAGAGAAAAAGAGAGTACCAGAACATTTGAGTAGCGCGCTCTTTTACAACTAACTCCCTCCCCGGTAAAACCCAAACCCCGCCGGCCACCGCCTTTAGCCTTATAAAATCAACATTTATCTTTGAGAAGTGATCAGCTCAAGATTTTTGATTTTCTGGACACCCTTTTACTGATTACTTCCAATGACAGAAACCAGAACCTGTGAATTTGATCATAACAACAACCCAAAGAAGAACACCAGGAGTACTGAAGAACTCAAAGATGGGTTTTCTGGGTTGCCCTATTCTGGGGTTGAAGATGGGTTATCTGGGTTGCCCTGTTTTGGGGTTGAAGATGATAAAAGTGGAATCTTGGAAGATGGGTTTGCAGAAAAAGGGAAGAAGAAAAGGAGAATTTGTGAAATGGGTCGGTTGAGTGATCCATTAGTTGTTCTTGGGTCAGATATTATGTTGATGATTTTGAGCTGTCTTGACGCACGCAGCGTGGCACTGTGTCTCCTTGTATCTTGTGGGTGGAGGGGTATTGCTTCTTCTGATAAGATTTGGAGCTCCAAGGTTTGAACTTTCATCTAGTTGAATAGTCAAAGTTCAATTTTGGTAAATTAGGGTTCATTTCATGTCAATACTTTGTTACTACAATTGTGTCTGCTTCGTTTTATGCATTTATTACTGATATCGCTCCTCAGTTGCAAATTTGTTATGCTTTACTACTTATTTATCAAAATTGGTATATAGAACTTTTACTATGTTACAACACTCACAAATAATGCAATACTTTAGCGTGACAGTAATGGAAATAGCTAGTATGAAATTTCTTGGGCACTTACCTGCTGTGCTATTACTCCTGTAGTTTTCATGTACTCGATTATTGAATTGTTTGTTTAGTTACTGTTCCTTTTTTTTCAAAATGTTTTTTCATGCTTTTTGTAATATTTTGCTATAGTTTCTTCACCTCCGCTATTTTTTTTAACCTGCTTTGAAATGTTTTATTGGAAACAACTTCTCTACCTCTTAAGATAGGGGTAAGGTCTGCATACACTCTACACTCTCGACCCCAAGTGGAATTACACTGGGTATGTTATTGTTGTTGCTGTTGTTGGTTTAGGAGTAGCTAACTGCTAACAGTTACATTATTGTTGGGTCAATTTTTGCTTGCAGGTCCTCTATGAACATTTCTAGTTGGTTTGTTGGGAAGATGATAAATTGTTGAAGATCAATTGTCTCTTATGTTTGTTGCTCTTAATTGCTTTACCAGGTACTGGAACATATATTCTTCAGGGATTATTCTTAAATTGAATCTTCCTTTCCTATGAAGAACATTGGATCTTCTTCAATTTTACCGTCTCCCCTTAGAGACTATAAATTATGTAAAAAGCACATTGTCTTTGTGTATCTTCTTGCTCATTTGATCTGGAGTTTAGCCCTTTTAAGAATACACATTGCGTGCTCTTTGCTAAAAGCTATGCTATGTTATCTTTAAACAATCAACCACCTCAAAAGGAATTTTCATCCTTTACACATGCTTTAAAAAAGAGAAATTATCACGTAATAACTTATAAAAGTGGAGGTAACCGTACTCAAATAGAGATGTGATAGAAACTACATTTCAGGACTGTGAGGTTATTCCAGGAGTACCACTGACCACCCACCATAGGCTTAGTAGTCTTAGATGTAAAGCTTAATGACAGAATTGAAAGTAAATGACTTGCAAACAAACTGCTAATTAGGTGGTGGACTTAAAGAGTACTAACCAGTTAGCATTTCAAGGGAATCTATGGAAGAGGGATCTTGGGACGTTGAGAAAAACTATGTCAATACACTCGACGACTCTAACCAATTGATTGTGGAATACAGCCTTCTGAAAGCTTAGAAGATTAATGTCTATGAACCACGGTGTTGGGAGTTTGAACCCCTTCTCATCAACAACCCGCCTAAGAGAAGTACCTTTTCTCTGAGATTTGAAAATTTGGGGTGAGGAAGGGATTACCAATGTGGAAATCCCAGGTTTCAACCTCTACTATAATACTTGATGTGAGTCCATCTACTTCAGCCCTGATGGTAGGATTACCTTGTCGTCCTATAAGATTAATGGCTATGAACCATAGTGTGGAGTATGGCCTTCTAAAAGCTTAGAAAATTAACGGCTATGAGCAACCACGGTGTTGGGAGTTTGAACCCCTCCTCGCCAACAATCAGCCTAAAAGGAAAGTAAGATACTTTCTAGGGGTTGAAAAAGTAGGTTGAGGTCTGGCATTAAAAACGTGGAAATCCAAGGTTTCAATCTTTAGTTATAACAGCACTTGTGGGTCCATCTACGTAAGTCATAGTGGTAGGACTACCATGGTGACTTATACTTGTGAGTTGGACAGGCTGCACTATGGAATAGTCAAGGTGCATGTGACCCGGACACCATTAATGAAGAAAATAAAGAGAAAAAAAATCGTAACTTGGGATACAATATGCTATACAATTGTAATACTTTTTCTTGGAGTCATCAGCAGTTCCATAAAGGTGTGAGTTTTGCTCAGTATTTGTTGTTCCCTTTGCTCACTATTTGTTGTCTCCTTTCACTACATGTTAATAATTCAGAGTTCATCCTTTGTAAAATGACATCGTCTGCCATCCTGCTCTAGCAAGTAAACAACAGTAAATAGCTAAATATGAATAGATGAAGTCACGTGCACATTTATTTACAAGCAGAACAATGATCTCTTTCTTGGCATCTCTTTGTAGTGTGAAGAATTATGGCAAGGCAAAACACATTTACCTCGGATAGCAAAAGTCAATGATTTATCGAAGTTGGCGGTTTACTCACTGTCCATAATGGATGGTAAACGTGTGAGTATTGGAACTCTCTCCTTAGCACTTGCACATACAAAATCTGTTACCTTTTTCTTTTGATTTGTCTAACGTTACTTTTTCATATATTATGTCTTAGAAGCGAATAAGAAAGGAGGATTTGTATGATCATGTGTGGGAGTTCCATTTCACCGAGGTATGAGCTGAAGTGCCTATTTCATATTTCTACTTTCCAAGTTTAACTTTGATTTACTTACCAATTTGAAGTCCATGAATAGGCATTATCCACCCATAGAAATCATGCATGGCTGCAGCGCGCACCAAATTGAGTAGGTAGAGTTTGTACGTGCTTGAGAACACTTCAAATCTGTCCGATTGAAGTTAAAACGTCCGAAATTTTTTGAGGGATCAGTCACTTTGTGTAGCTTTGCAAGTGGTTGGTAAGAATGCACAATATCTTGCCTTATTTCTTGTTCATTATGTTCAACCTTTTGTTCTTCCAAAAATTTACCGGTTTTATTGATGTCACTGGTCAGTTTCATAGAGCTTCTGCCAAATTGAAAACGGTTTGCTTGGTTCTGTCTCCTGTAAGTTCTATTTGAACCACCCTTGCTGCTGCCTTTGCTTGTTATTTCTTCACAGTTTAATGCCTCTTGAATCAATAAATCTTTTATTGGAAACGAGAGAAAGGAAGAGAAGGTCATTGAATTTTTTTTGGTTTGACAAGAGTGAAAAAAAGGAAGTGAAGGAGAAAATATTTCCCTCTTTTCCTTTCCCTAGTTTCCGTCATAGGATAAAATAGATAAACATAATCCTTGTATAACTGCAACCCATATTACTTCTGTTGACGACTCCTTAGGCGGCTCCTGAGTATTGGCGAATGCTCGATCCCTACTGGAATGGAACAGGACGTCCCCTGCGCCGTTATTTCCTTCCAGATGGAAGTCAGACTGCAGAACCAGATGACAAGATATGGGGTGGTCATGAGTCTTGCTACTCCATAGTAACTAGCGTGCTTGCAGATGGGAAAATAAGAGCACACTATGTGAGGATAAACCGTTGGCCGCCGATGTATGTGACAAGGAAGGAAGATTGGAGCTGGGAGATCTCTAACAACTTCTGTACCTACAGGAGCATACCAGATGCTGATAAAAAAGATGGGACTGGGCCTTTGTTTCTATTTCACTAAGCCTCTACTACTTTTGCAGTAGTAGTATCAATGTGCTTTGAAGCCAAACTATGGAAATGTTTGTTTTGTCTTTCGATGGAGTTTGTGTTTGTTTGAATAATTGTAAGGCTGTGAATGGAAAGACTACCAGGCCTTTTGTAAAGTACATTTTGTAGATACTAATAAGTCTTCCAAGTTTTAATTGTTGCTACTTTCTACAACTGTTCATGAGCTAGGGGCTTAGCTTAGCAGTGTTCATGAATTAATTCGATTGTGAATGTTTGCCTAATACTTTGTCCTAACGTCCATTTAGAAGTCACTTATTAAAGAAATGGTCTTTATGTGTTTGGTGATATTGCAATTATCCATAACCACATTTATTCATCGCCTTGAAATTGGGTATCTATAAAGAATATTAGGGAATTTAATCACCTCCATTGATCTTCCTGTTTTGTTTTGAGAAAAGACATTCCATCTTTCTGTGTTCGTTGAGGTTATTTGCCTCTGGCATGGCATAGGTTTACCATACAAACACCATGGGATTATGTAAATTAGTAATACGACAGTTTACTGTTAAGGAAAGTGATAATAATTAGGAAAACAATCTTTAGCATAACCCAATATTTGTCAGAAACATTCAACAATAACTTCTGCAAGATTTGGCTTCTCCTAGTGTTTGAGGCTACTGGAAAAGCCACTTCCATATTGTAATTGGATAAAACACTTTGAAAAGATAGATGATGATTGAAATATTGGAGACAAGGACGTCTATTCATTAAAACGATCTGAATCAACTATTAGAGAACATGAACTTGCATTGTCTCTTATAATCCCAACTCGTAATGCAGATAGGAGGGAGAATGCTAATAGCGTTAAAGCAAATCCTGTAACATCATCTTAAACATGTCGCACAGATTTTGCAAATACAATTTTATTCCAATGAGGAAAGAAATCCAAAGGAAAGTATGAACTCCACTGACATGAACCAGTTTTTCGTGCTGCATGTCCTGGAAGCTTTACCAGCATCTTACCAGACATCAGGACGAAGCTCTCCAGTTGCTGGTGGCATCCATTTCCCAGAGTTGTAAACACTTTCACCAACTTTCCAACCGGGAACATCCTTCATGATTCTCGCCTCTTCTTCAAGATACTTCTTCCACTCTTTAACAAATCTAAATAAGCAAAAAAAAAAAAAAAAAGCAGTAGGATAAATTATAACGAGTTCAGACTACAATAAATAAACAGGAGCATGGAATGGAAACAAATTCAAGAAGGCTCACCTTTCATCTTCTTCAGCTTGAAGCATGGGCAAGATAGCCCTTCGGGCAGCATATTTTTCTTCCTTTATCACCCTACATAATGAGAATATTATCAGAACTTCTAAAGAAGTTTAAGATTGACGGTGGTTTTGGGAACTATGGAGGTGTCAGCCAGTGCACATATTCCAAAACATAAGAAGGGAGTTTTAGGTATGTCCTCAGATCAAACAACTTCTCCAAGCTCCTCCAAGAACCCCGATATCAGAGAACTCTGACTCCTAAGTTTTCAGAGCATGGATAACAAATGATGATCCAACATTGGTTAAAACACCATCAATGATGCATCTCGCCCTGATATTATGCTCAAGTGAAATGGACCTTGGGACTATTTCAAATCCAAAAGTTAGCTCATGAATTGAAAATACTCCACTACCATATAGAAAGACAAACAGCCCACACCCTCAAACAAATGTATGCGTAAGGTGAGAAGTGACCAAGACAATATATAGATATTAGAACACAGACCCCCGAACCATGTGGGGCTTAACACGGGCATGCTCCATTTGGAGCATAGATGAAATTACATGGCAGTTTAACACTAGGTAATTAAACACAAGGATAGGTTTGGCTCTAAATACCAAGTTGAATTGTGTGACTACCTTATCTCAAAACTTAAAATTATTAGAGTGAAGACATCTTTATTTATTTATATTAGGTCTTCAATCCAAACAATTGATGACTAATGTAAATAAACAACATCCAGAGTCCCACAAGCAGTGGAACTTCATCCTTTTATGAGTTAATCATATGATAAATGCTTAAACATGAGTTTACATAAAGAGAAAAAGCTGGCAACACAAAATACATTTTCAACCATGTAGAAGGAATGACATGCATGCTGATTTGAATCATTAACAATATCATAGGTGAATTGTTCATTGTGATTTCACTAATTACCAACATCCCTTTGTTGGAAATATCACAGATTATTATATGACACAGGATAAAGCCAATTCCATAGATCCAATTGATACTTCTGGCTAACCAGAGATGTGAATATCTTAGCTGATAATTATTTCTAAGAAGAATTCCCCCAGCTGGTTATTCTATGTTCATGTTTATGGAATATCTGAACTATATGTGATTTATCCAAATATAAAAAGAAAGAATGTGAATTCCAAATAAATTGTGTAGTTTAATCCCTCTCCATTTTGGCTTATTTTGGATCATGCCCCAGCCATCAAGTAAGCCTATATCAACTGCATTTTTTAGACAGTTGACAAAGCCATCAAAAAAGATCTGGAAAATGATTCCAGCAGTCATTTTTCAGGTTGTTTGGAATGAAAGAAACTACATGTGTTCTGATGGAATATCAACTGCAAAATTGATCATAGCTAAAAGCTAACTTTAACATGGGAAGTACGACACTATGCTAAGAGATTATCTTTTGTATTTCAAGGAGATTAAGATCATTAATTTACTAATTGATTCTCACAGTATAGAAAGAAAAAGGGGGGAGCACATAAGAAGATTCACTAGTACTATAGTTATTGGTGACAATCACAACCCTCTACAGTTGAAGATTTGTAAACTGGTGACACCTATCCTCCCACCCCACCCCCACGCCCAAACCAAAAAATGCAGACAAATAAATTTTCAAGCCGATGAAAAAAAACTGGCAGTTTCAGGAGTCTTGGTTTGCTAGCTATTCTGGGGACCTAATAATACTTTCATAATCACTGAGTTTCATAGACCTTGAGCACTGAGCTGTCTCTGTCTTTCACTCGAGGATGCCATAAAACCATACTAGAAAAGAGTATACTTGCTTGGCTGTGACTCTAACCAATTCTAGCATCAAACTCTTTTCTAGGACTTATTTGGTCTAAGCCTCTATGGCGGCACTGTGTTTTGAGTCTTCACACCTTCCTTCTCTTAGTCTCTTCTACATGATCTGAGTTCGGATTCTATGAGTGAGAAAAACTTTCAGGTTGGACATGAGAATCAGTAAAGCTCTGGCTTTGGACATTGGATTCTTGATGACGACTTTCCTCACTTTCAAGCCATTGAATTTAAAGGCACTATCATCTCCACGAGATAAATCTTTATGGTGTAGCCAAATGAATTATAAGAAAGAGATAACTAATGAAGACAACTTCATTTTTTTTATTGTTAATGAAAACTTCTCTTAGGATTATACATTCCTAATATCTCCATCCAAAGGTCCAAGGGTTTGCAATAACTACACGATGACAGTTCACCAGATCATCAAGACAGTCACAATTGGCTAGATCTTAAAATAATATCCTGCACTATTTCTTCTTCTTTTTTCCTACATCGGAGAAATGTCCTGTGGGATTCCATTCCGACTTTGGTTGGCCAACAGGTTTAAGACTCCAGGGACTATGCGTCCCCACCCATCTACAGTCTGCCCTCCAACTAGCTTAAATATCCTGCTAACTAGAAACTCCATTATCTTTCACTCCATCTTAAATTCCATTTTCGAGGAAACCTATCATTCAAAAAGATGATTCATCAGATTTCTGACTACTCTAGGCAGTTTACCAAATATTCTTCTTCAGAAGATACACAACTCAAACGGGCCATAACATGAAAACTGACATACGCAATACCTTAAAGGCTTTCCTATTAGCAGAGGAATCTTCATTAAAATTCATTCATATCTATAAGATCTACAGTCACTGCAAGCACCAGGACAATTGCTGGAGTCTGTCCCATAGAAAGGATGGAATACATTTAGTTTGATGATATATTATTGCTTACCAGATACAAATCTGTTAACTGGTGTTTCCATCTCAAGCAGCTTCAAAAGCACTGGAATATGTTAAGGGGATAATACATTCTATTGAACTTAACGAAAACAACTCAGAAGTTCGGATATCCAGAATGCCCCTTCATTTGGAGCAAACTTTTCTATCTACTGTGAAAGGATCCTGATTTCGATGATTTTGGAAGTATGAGAAACAATCACAGCCAGCATGCCACATTGGGTACTAGCTTTTATTTCACAATCAGACAACCAGCAAAATAAACATTCTGGTTCTCCTCTAACTGAAGCAGTTCTGCTGCTGATGGGACGTCCATAGGTGCAAAGAAACAACTTCTTAAAGTAGCAAACACTTGCTTCAAGTCAACAAATGACAAGATTGTCAATGATGGACGCATATCTTAATAGAAAGTAATAAACCAAGACCAATTTGTACTAACACGTAAAAATAACCTACTCAAGATATACTTTTTCACAGAGTCATCACATTTCTTCTGAAGTTTACACTCATCACCAGAGATCAACACCCTTGCTCAAGGACTGGTTTCAAGTCTACCACTTTCCATTCTTAAACTCAAAACTCGGGCGTATGCTCATCATGAATCACAACCTTACATCAGAATCAGAATCCACACGTTTTAAAAACCTTTTCTTCAATCTAATTCCACTTGCCAATTCAGATGAAGTGTCAAACTTCACCTACCTTCATCAAATTAACTAAAAGAAAAAGAGCAAGAAGCTCGAATTCTTAATCAGCTCAACTCAACCAAAGCACACAAATTCAGTAACATTTTAGGGTTTACCAGGAATCACAATTAGCTATCACCCACATCATCCCAAAAAAAACGGAACCAACTTTTTCAGAAACAACAAAAAATCAACACATACCCAGATCAAATCAAACCAAAATAAACACACCCAAATTAATTTTCTTCTCACAAACTAAAAAAACTCGATTCATACCTTCGCTTCTTATTTCCTACGCCGACTTGGTACATACCCCAAGAGAAAACACCAAAAGCAGTAAGGAAAATAGCCATAGCACTTGGACCAGTGTTAGGGATCCGGCGAGCGAATCGAACCGGTGCAAAACCGCCTGGTGGTGGACCGTCTTGCAATAAGGGCATGTCTTTCACGCTAGCCATTCCGGCTTTCTTCCTTATCATTGCCTCTGTCATTTTTCCTACAGTGTGACTTTCCCTCTGTGATGGAACACTGTGATTTTGAGCTGCTTTTGAGGTTTACAGTGATGGAGATTGAAAGGAACAATGGAGAAGAAAACTGCGATTTGGAAAATGGTTGAGAAGAAGAACAGATGATGGTTGTATCGGGCCGGGTCGGGTCAGGATATTGACCAATGGGAATTTGACACGTTAGCTTGACCCAGCGGGTGATATTGTGAAATCTCACTGCCCGGGTGATCCTAATAAATATGATTATTTATATTTTGAAAAGATATGAGTGTCAAAAAAACACATGGAGTCGTTTGGTTGAGTGTATTAATGTATGCGTTAATTTTATGTATTAATAATCTCTTATTTGGTACTTTTTTATGTTATGTATAACTAATGTTTGCATAATTAGGGATGACAATGGGTATGTGGGGCGGGGGTTTAAGGTTATGCGGGGCAGGTGGGATGTGGGGCGGCTGCGCCCCATTGCCATCCATATGCATTGACTATAGTTATGCACTTTATTGCGTATTAAGGAATGTATTACTAATACCAAGATTTAATGTGTATTAGTAATGCAAATAAATTAATACACGCATTAGTATGGTTAAAGACATAATTTTCCCTTAAAAACACTTGTCAAAATCAGCTCATAACCATGATTGATCATCCATGAATGCAGTAAAGAGAAATCAGGAAAGAAAAGAGTATGGAGAGAATCAACCAACTGATTTTTATTATGAGGAGACAATGTATTTATACAAAAAGGAATCAAAATATCTAACTAACTAATGAGTTGTCAATTTACCAACAATAACATAATTCAGCTGACTAACTATTCTAACTAATTAATTGAATAGAATAACTAACTAACTAATTAGACTAGTAACATAATTAGCTAAATCATAACACCCCGCTCAAGTTGGAGGTGTAGAGAACACAGACAACTTGTTCAATGTTGCAGAATGCTTGATTCCAGTCAAAGTCTTAGTTAGTATATCTGTCAGTTGATTATCAGAACTTATGTGATGCAATGAGATGAAACCTGTCTGAAGCAAATTCCTTACAAAGTGACAATCTACTTCAATATGCTTAATGCATTCATGAAATACTGGATTTCGAGTTATATAAAGGGCTGATTGGCTATCACAATATACTTCTATAGGTGTTGGTAATAACAATGTAAGTTCTGTGAGTAATCTGCTGAGCCAAACTAATTCTCCTGCAACTTTCCTTAGAGCTCTATACGCTGCCTCTGCTGAGGACAAAGATATGGTCTCTTGTTTCTTAGACTTCCAGCTTAGTGGATTGTTACCCAATAACACAATATAGCCACTTACTGACTTCTTGGTATCAGGACATGCAGCCCAGTTAGAGTCATAATAAGCTTTGACATTGTAAGACTGATCTTTGGACATAAAGATTCCCAGTGTGGGGTCTGCTTTGAGATATCTCTGTAGATGAAATGCTGCTTGCAAATGTGGCTCTCTAGGATCTTGCATGAACTGGCTGAGATGTTGTACGTTGTATGATATGTCCATCCTAGTATTGGTCAAGAAATTCAGCTTTCCAATAAGTTTTCTGTAGAAAAATAGTTCTGTTAGAGGAGTCATTTCCTTTGCTTGGAGTTTGAATGCAGGATCAAGTGGAGATGAACAGCTACTCATGTTTGCAATCCTGTAATCTTTCAACATTTCAAGGACAAACTTCCTCTGAGAGATGATAAGTCTTTCATCTTTATAGAGTACCTCAATTCCAAGGAAATAGTGTAGCTTGCCTAAATCCTTAATTTTGAACTTATCATAAAGGAATGCCTTGAGTTCATTGATTTCCGAAATATTTGTTCCAGTTAAGATCACATCATTTACATAAACAACAACAAAATTGGTAGAAGCCTCAGATTTCTTATAGAACAAGGAATAGTTATTCAATGAGTGTGTGTACCCTTTTGAATATAAGGCTTCAGTCAGCTTGGCATACCACTGCATGTTGGCTTGGTTCAGGCCATATAGAGACTTGTTTAATCTGCATACCATCCCTGGCTTCAGAGGCATATCTAGAGGGGGTGTCGTGGGTTCACGTGAACCCATGCTCCCCTCTCTAGATCATATATAGTATTGCTATATTTTTTTAAAAATATTTAAATATAGATGTGTGAACCCATGTTCAAAGTATCATATAATAATGTGATGATGATTGAGTGCACTTCTCTAAGTGAGAGATAGAAATTTAAATCTTATATCTATCTTGTCTCTTTGAGTAACACTTTTCCAAGTGGTTATTAGTTACACTTTTGTCGTTTCAACTAATTTTTCTTTTGTTTTTTTCCTTTATTCTTTCAAAATTTTCAAGTGTGTTACATTGAGAATTCCTAAAAAATTTAGCAGTGTAATGTTTTTATATAATTAAATCAAATGTGTATATTAAAATTTAAAACTAGTAGTATTATATATTTTGGACCTGTAATTTTTAAACTTTAATAGTTCATATTACGAACTAAAAGTCAAATCGATCAAATTTATATTTAAGATACATTTTTTCGTAATCGTGCACCCATCTAGCCGAAATCCTGAATACGCCTTTGCCTGGCTTTGCATTGCTAAGCTTAGGGGAACCTCCATATACACCTCTTCATGAAAATCTCCATGAAGAAAGGCATTGATCACATCAAGTTGGAATATATCTCAGCCCTTTTTTACAGTTATAGCTAGCAAAGCCTTCACAATTGTCATCTTGATTACTGGTGAAAAAGTCTCTGTATAATGAATCCCAGATTCTTGAGTATAACCTTTCACTACAAGTCTTGCTTTGAATCTCTTAATAGTTCCATCAGCTTTATGCTTCACTTTATACACGCATATACATCCTATGACATTCTTGCCACTAGGTAAACTAATAAGATCTCAAGTATGATTTGTGTGTAATGCTTCAAATTCTTGTGTCATAGTCTGCTACCAGGCAGGGTTTATAGCAGCTTCTTCATATGAAAAAGGTTCATTATCATTACTGATATTCTTCACAAATGTCTGACTCTCAAATGCCAAGATCTCAGATGGTATATGTTGGTGTTTTGAGAATACAATGTTGAGGGAAATATGTGAGTTCTGTAATTGATTTGTTATATTGTTAGGCAAAACATAATCATGTAGGTATGCAGGCAATCTATGTGATCTAGGTGGTTTTTTTGGGAATTATAGGTTCAGATTGTTGGACAGAATTAGGAGAATGAGAGGTGGGAGGTGCTACATTATTAGGTGATAAACTGGTTGTATTATTGGTGATTTGTGGAGTGGACTGTTACTTGCACCAACTACATTATTTTCCACATGTTGTACAAATTGTAAGGCAATATTATCATGCAAAGTGTCTATGAAAGGCACAGAATGCAAGACTGAAGGAAAAGAAAATACATCAGGTAAAACAACAAAAGGAAAAATAGTTTCTTTAAAGACTACATCCCTAGAGATATGTATTTTTCTTGTGGCCAGACTTAGAACTTTGTAACATTTTGTCCCAAAGGGGTAGCCTATGAAGATATGGGGTGTGGTCCTTGCTTGGAATTTGTCCCTATGGGTTTTTGGAAAAGTAGGATAGCATAAACAACTAAAGGATTTCATGTGTGAGTATGTTGGTTTGGTGTCATATAACAACTCATATGGGAATTTACCCTTTACATGGGAGGTATGAAGTCTATTAATGATGTATGTGGCACACAACACACACTCATCCCAATACTTGAGAGGTAACTTGGATTGGAAAAGAAGGGCTCTGGCAGTTTCCAACAAATACTTGTGCTTTCTTTCTACCAACCCATTTTGTTGGGGTGTGTAAGGACAGGTTCTCTCATGTATAATTCATTTTCCCTTAAAGAAGGTTGATGTTTCTGTATTCACAAACTCAAGTCCATTGTCAGTTCTTATGGTCTGAACACAGGTATTGAATTTGTTCTCAATCATGCATAAGAAACTTTTGATGACTGCTAAGGTGTTACTCTTACATGTCAATAATTGGGTTCATGTACATCTACTATAGTCATCAACAATAGTGATAAAGTATATATGTTTATCATGTGTCATCATGTGGTAGGGACCCCATAGGTCTATGTGTAACAATTGAAATATTTTGGTAGAAATGTGGGTACTATGATGAAATGGCATTTTTTCCTGTCTTGCCATTGGACATATATTACAAAGGAAGTGTTGTTTTGCAGAAAAACTCTCAGGTATAGGCTTAATTTCCTTCATATTTACAAAGGGTACATGTCCAAGTCTATTATGCCACAACACATTCACATCATTGCAGGTATGAGTCATAAAAAAAGTAGAAATATCGGAGTTTTATTGAGTGAAGGACAAACATAAGGCTGTGTATTGTGTTTACATGAGTGAATAGGAAAAAATACAAGTTTAGAATTGAAAACATCTTGTCTTGACAAGTAATCGGAGTTGGAAGCAACAGAAGCAGCACCAGAATGAACAGGCTTCATCAAACATTTAGAACACAAAAAATAAAGCCCATCCTTTGCTTCACCAATCACCAGAGGCCTCTTCATTGAAGGGGCCTACAGAATGTATGAAGATTCAGAAAAATACACAGCACTTTTAGGCATGGATTTTGAAAGGCAATGAATGGAAATAAAATTATACTTAAATGAGGGCACATACAACACTTCATGTAAAACAATGTCTGGTGCAAGTATCACACTACCAATTTTCATAACTTTCACCTTATAACCATTTGGTAAAGAAACTAACAAGGGGCATGGAAGGTAGGTAATGTTTGTTAGAAATGTTAGGTCAAAGGTCATATGGTGAGAGAATCATGAGTCAAGGATCCAAGAGTCAGTTTTACTGTGGGAACATCTGCAAGACAATTTCTCGAAAATAATTGAAGAAGTACATGTTATCATACTTGCAAAATTCACACTACCATTGTCCATATGCTTAGCATTATCCTTCTCAGTTTGGAACTGTTGCAACAACTCCACAAATTGAACATATTGTTCTTTTGTTGGTTGATGACCTGTGTCTGTATGAGCTCCTTCATTATTCTCCTCTCCTGAACAGCCATGAACATCAGCTATAAGGCTTTTTCTTCTGTTGAATCTAGAA